TGGTAAAACTTGTGGTCATTTAGGCTTCGTGACAACAGATGTATATTCGAATTCCTCTTTTAACACACAATATCTTAAAATAAACTAGTATCGGTTCTGACTTTTGGCACGACGCCAAGTTGTTGTGAGCTGTTTGTTTGGGAGCATTGCGGTGTGACTTGGAATGTTTCGCAACCAAGAATTATATTAATATGTTCTACTGCCATGATCATTTCTAAAGATATAATTGTAGATCGTATCTCAAATGTTGTCTACTTCTCATTTTGTTAAAACACGGTACAACTGACCTATCGTTTACGTGTAAACACGTTCACATTTTTTGTGTTTTTGTGTGTAATTTGAAATTCCTGTTTGAGCATGAACAAATTCAACAGAATGACTTCTTGTCCTTCTTCGAATTGGGTCGTGTATAGAGTTAAAACTGAATATTAAAATAAAGTTATATCGGAAAAATATAGAAAAAACAACATATCGCTATCTATCTGTCTCCTAGGCATCTTTGAAATTCACGAGTTTCAGTTACATTTCACGAAAATAACCCTCAGATCTTTGTAGTTAGCGTCTTCGTAATTATCACTGATCCCCATTGTTTTCCATGTTGTCATGTTTGATTTACGTTTTTCTCGGCAGTCTTGAAATACGTCTTGGCATTTACTTATTTAATAGTTAATGGCTCAATAATGTATGAATCTCAAGCTGATTCACGAATAATTTCAGTTTGTGCATTTCAAACTCGAAACATGCTCAGATAGAGATAACATTTGGTGAATTTACTACTGTTGGGTAAATGACACGGCTAGAAGTTTCGCATTTTCATATTGTAGTTTAAAATGAGTCAGAATGCTGTAAAGTATATTTAAAAAAAAAATATTACGTATGCTTCGGAATATTCAGGAACATCAAGGCACAGATCGCTGATACCGACTTGGAAAGACAATGTTAAACGTTTTATTTTACTTTTTGTACGTACGCAGAAACTGCACTTGTGAATCTTCACCGATCGCGTTTGCAAGTTTTGTGTTTACGGTAGAGCTGAGAAGGCCTGCACAGAACAGTTGAATTAGTTAATTTCTAACAGATTTTATTTCACATCCTGGCACAATGTATGTGGACATTGGCGGCGCTACGCGTAAGCAGACTATGCAATTGCTTAGGGCCCCAAGCAGGTCAAGGGGTGCCCTTATTCTTGTAGATTTTGTTTCATATTATTTTATTTATTTTACTAATGTACTCATTTGAAAAAGAAAAAAGTGTTTTCTATCTAAGGAACCCAAGAATACATAACTCAGTTACCGATGGATGTTCAAAAATTTTAGCAGCAAAAAATTTCACTTCTCAGGCAGGGATTGTTTGCTAAGTGCATGAATTGAGAAATGTACTAGCGCATTGATGTTAGTGTGTTAGTTGAAATGACTTTTTAAACAAGTTTATTAGTATGTGTTGTTGTGGTGGTGTATTTTTTGTTTGTAGATGGGATGGATGAGGACATCCAAACATATTCCTACTTTGAGACTCTAATGGACTGGCAGAGCTCCTATACGTGGCTATAATTCAAACTGTGCTTTTTTTTCTGGTCAGTAGTTAATGTTTACTTTTGCCATCGGAGAGCGAGTTCCTTTTTTTTTTGTCAGTTGTCACGGTATTGAGAAACTCGATTAGAAACGATAACACATCATACGTATAAAACGCATTAAGATTAATTGCTATAAATTGATGGTGCTTTTACAAAATTAACTCCAGTTATGATTATTTTTTTGCAGGGAATTTTTAATATTGACGTAAGGTTGTCAAATTTTCGTTTCTAGATACATTTCACACTCTTCAACTTATTAAAAAATCTTCTTAAAGAAAGTACCAGACAAAAAAATTGGCTTAACACAATTGTAAAATTGCTAAACATTCAGTATGTACTCACATTTTTACTTGTGTTAGTCTCCAAAGGGGTGGGAGGTTCTTACAAAAAAACGTGAAGCTGATTTTTTTCTATTGATTTAATTGACATCAGGTCTGTGAGAAAAAAATGTGAGTGTAATTCATCACAGCGAAAGCAAAGTAAAATCAAAAGATATCTTTATTTTCATCTGTCGTTTTAGGCACACTAAAGACTTTTTTATTCTAATTTCACCCTTTTTCTTTTTTATATTACGTCACCCTGAAGCAGAAAAAAAATCAGATAATAAGTCTATTATCGTTTTGTAGGTATGAGTTTCGATTTTAAATTCTTTTCAGTTTAATTGATTTTGTGAATAAATATATTTTATTGGCATGGAGATTTGCCAGATTAAGGTCGTGTACGTACGCTGTCCATAACTTGACATCAAAAATTATTTATTAACTCAGTCGCTGTCCAGTCTTCGTAATATTTTGGAAAAAAGTTGACAACAAGTATATATATTTCAGAATAGTAATTGTGGTAGTAGTTAGGTAAATCATCTTAATGGTCCAAATAAGCATTAAAACAACTTTTTTGTTACCACATTATTTCAAAAGTTAACAGAAAAAAGTTTGTCACCTCATTGGCACGCCATGTGGTGGTTTACGCGTGTCCTGAAGTCATGTCGCCATTCCCATTATTACATCATTTTGAGACTTGAATGTCATTGGATTATAGATTATGTTGCTTACAGGCAATATCGTGCATTTTAATTTGTAAAATGCTATGAAGAAGAGCGATTTTGACTAAAATAAATTTTATTGTCACAAATCAACATTATTCAGTAGAAGGTCCATAAAACATCCAACCTTTGAGGGACCGCTCGTGTAAGAAGGAAAATACGAGAGGTTTCTCACCATCTTGGTAGTTTACTACTAGCAAAATATCTCTCACAGATTGACAAAAGATATATAATTAGACAATGAGATACACATATCATTTCTGTTTTAATACTCTTTCTGATATCTACTCAATGTTGAATACCTCATTAGACAAAACAATACATATATTAAAAGCCCCTCCCCCATTGGCTCAGCAGTAAGTCTGAGGGCATATAACGCTAAAAATCGGGTTTAGATACTCGTGGTGAGTACAGTACAGATAGCCAACTGTGTTTCTTTCCACTTAACAACAACCAAACAAATATATATTAAACATTTTCACCTTTTCACAAGTTTTGTTATCCGTTCTAGAAATGTGTAAAGGTGTTGCTTTTTCTTATGAATCAACCACCGAATTAAAGCGTTACTGCTTGCTTTAGGACTCCATATATATTTATATTAAGCTTCTTAATATATAGTAAAACTGCAGTATGTGTGTGTTAAAAAAATCGAGGTATAATATACGTTAAAAATAATTATTTTAGTTCGTTTAAAAGCACCGGAACAACTGACATTATTTTTGCTTTGTTTTCTGTTAGTAAAACCTCGTGCATGGATAATACTTCATTTCCTACTCCACTCACTGTCCAGTAAGGTATATGGCTATATGTGAGAGTTAAAATAGGGCAGTCTGCCGTCAGCCAGCTAGGCTGAAGCCGTACAGACAAATCTCCTGATGGATTACTGACTAGCGTACACGCTTTCTAATGGCTCCTTGTAGTCCGTTAGCGTCCATCTTCCCTCTCAGAATTCTACTGAAGCAAAACATACTTTCACTGTAGCATTGCCGACATCAAGAAATGGCGCTTCTATTGGCTAACGTTCATGTAATAATGTAGCACAGTACCTGAGTCAACGTCTACGAAAAGCATGAAATGGCTAGTCAAAATCTCGGGGAAATCCCTTTTCCCATATAATGTGCTGCAAACCAGTAACTTGTAACATTCGGAACCCCATGTGAGCTTTCACCTTACCTGGATGGGTGTATATAGAAGTGTGCCTCTTTCTCGTGCGCCAGACTTCAAATCTGGTGTCTTCTGTGAACATTTGAAAGTTAGTTAATTTGTTATTAAGCACAAAGCTACACAACGGGTTATCTGTGTTATACCCACCACGAGTATGAAACCCGATTTTTTGCACTTTTTAGCCTTTGGACTTGCTGCTGAGCAAATGGGGAGGGGTTTAAGTTTGTTTGTAGTTAAGCACAAAGCTACACAACGGGTTATCTGTATTATGCCCACCATGAGTATGAAACCCGATTTTTAGCACTTTTTAGCTCTTGGACTTGCTTGCTGAGTAAGTGGGGGAAGGGTTTGAGTTTGTTTGTAGTTAAGCACAAAGCTACTCAAAGAGTTGTCTGTGCTCTACCCACCACGGGTATCAAAACCCGGTTTCTAGCGTTGTAAGTCTGCAGACATACAGCTGTGCCACAGGGGGCAAGTGGGGAGGAAAGGAGGTCTACATTTGAAAATAATGATGTAATTCTCATATTTATTTTAGTAGGATCTCGCAGAACAGACTAAACGGGAAGAAGTTTTTACTACAGTCTAAAGCCACCATGAATGTTAGTTTTTCAATCACATTTATTATTTCAGTGATATATTAGCCCAGCATAGCGACTCATAGAATGGCTCTGAGTTTTTTTGTTTTTTTCAAACTTAAAGCTCATAGCTCCATCTCTTACCAATTTGAGATCTAATGGCAGCCGCGGCTACCGAGGATTTCCTCTTGCCCTCTTGTTTTTTAAAAAAGATAACTAGATGGTATCAATTTCTAGCTCAATAAGAACAGCAGGTAAAATTTGGACGTTGAAGTTTGAAAGAAAATTTGAAGTTATTGAAGCATTGTAGCATATCAGAATTTTTTTGAGTCTAGGCGTTGTCACAAAAAGCTAATATATAATTGTATTATTTTTAGATTAATATTCTGTTGTAGGTTTAACGAATCTAAACAACGATTTTACTTTGCTTCATCTGATGCATAAGTTCATGTAAATAAATCTGAAGCGATTTTTTTTTCAAAATAAAGACATTGAAAGATTACGATATACAGGAATTGATTTCACAAGCTTTAAGGAAACTAGCTTTCAGTCTAATATCGAAATAATTGTGAAATGATTATTTGATGTCGTTTTTTTTAAACTACTAGAAAAACAGCCTTATACAAGCTTTTTATTTTTCTTTCAGATACGAACTCAGACACTCCAACCGATGAAGGAATAGGTGATGCCCACGTATGTGGAAAGTGTAGGGGCGAATTCATAGAACTTTCTGAATTTCTTACTCACAAAAAAACTTGTACAAGAAAACGGTTAGTGTACATTGTAGCTGATGAAACGGACGATTTCCGACCTTTAGAGAATATGGATAGTCCTGATTATCAAAGTGGTGCATCTTCTGATGACCTAAGTGAAGAGCAGGAATTGACTCAGAAACAGTCAGATGATATTATGAATAGTGACGGACTTTATTACGAAAAAGTGGACTCCCCTGACAGTGGTGACCTTCCTAGTTTAGTAATGAACAAGGGTCAATCTAGTGTGTGCATGGACGACTTAACAGGAGAGTTGGACAAGACGCTTGATGGGGTCTTGAACCTCTCAAACAGTTGCAAGAACACTTTGAACAGGAATCTCATTAATTATTCCACATCGCTTATCACTAACCTACCTCAGTCCTTACTGTACTCTCAGTATTTGCCTGAAACTAATGTTACCTTGGAAACGTTGCAAAATACAAAAGTTGCAGTGGCTCAGCACAGCTCCACCAGTAACAAGAATCAAACTGCTGAGTTGGCTGCTCTGCAGTCAGCTTTATACACTTTACAGCAACAACAGCTTATTCAGCTACAAATTATACAACAACTCCAGTCTCAGCTGATTGGGGGACCGGGAAGTCATCCGCCTGTCACAGCTCCTCTACCTCCACTAACACGATCAGTAACATTGACTTCTCCATTAAGTAGTGACACCACTTCCATGGTTTCAACTACTGCAACAACAACTTCATTGTTGTTTCAACAAACTCCCTCTGTGCATGTAGCAACAAAACCTGGCTCCCTGGATGCTTCGAGCTTGAATGTTTGTAGTTCAGCATCTGATGTTACTATTCAAGCAAAAGATTCTCTACAGCATCCATTGATTCCACCTCCACCTCTTCCTCATGAACCAAACACACTGGAGTTACTTCAAAGGCACACGGAGCAAGCTCTTCAAAATACAATGTCAGGAGGATCCTTCCTATTGAATGGGGTAAATAGTTATGGTAGTGAGACAGAACTGTCTAAAATACGAAAAGGAAAGTTATCGAATGCACCTGCTAGTGATGGAAAATCCCTTCACGGACAAGATGATTCGTTCTTTCGACATCGCTGTCGATTTTGTGGTAAAGTATTTGGAAGTGACAGTGCTCTGCAAATTCACATTCGATCTCATACTGGTGAAAGACCTTTTCGTTGCAACATCTGTGGAAATCGATTTTCAACTAAAGGAAACTTGAAAGTTCATTTTCAGAGACACAAGTCGAAATATCCACATATTGAAATGGATAGTAATCCGTTTCCAGAACATCTGGACAAGCTGTATCCACCATTAGAACCCCCTTCTTCCCAGAGTCCTGTATTGCAAGAGATGTCAAACAGTTGTAGCTCACAGCCTCCTTTGTTGGTACCACAAATAGCTTCATTGCCACAATCTCAACAAGTTGTAAATGGGGAACATCGACAGGCTCTAGCTTCCATTGACTTAGAAAACAGACCTACTACCTCACAAGAAGAAGAGCTTTCGAACGAAGAAAAAAGTGACTCTGCACAAAAAAATTCAAATTTACCTGTTTCTGCAGATGAGGTCATAGAACAACCGGAAACTGATATGCCATTGGAAAAAGATGAAGAAATGAGGAATGAACAAGATCAGGAAGATATTAATCCAAATCGCATCTTAAGTCCTGAACCATCAACTTCACAAAGCCCTATTGTTGGGGATGAAGAAAAAAATGCTGCAGAAATAAAAGGTCATGAAGAACTAAATAATTCTCCTTTTCATAGTGGAATTGTTTCAGTTCCACCATCTATTATTCCCCCTTATCCCCCATTTTTAAGTACTATGGCTGCTTCATACCCCACGTTATTTCATCCATCATTCTCTCCTGCATTACCTTCTTTTAATCTGCATTCATTAACTACTACCTCTACTACTCAAACATCGACTCCAACAGCCACAACTTCTGATGATCATAATAACACTAATGATCCTGTCTTTTATCAAGATTTACTTCCTAAACCAGGAAGTACAGACAGTAACTGGGAGTCACTCATGGAAATCACAAAGACATCAGAAACAACTAAGCTGCAGCAGCTTGTAGACAATATTGAACATAAACTCAGTGACCCCAATCAATGTGTCATTTGTCACCGAGTTCTTAGTTGTAGGAGTGCTCTGCAGATGCATTATCGTACTCACACTGGCGAGAGACCTTTCAAATGCAAAATATGTGGACGTGCATTCACAACAAAAGGTAATTTGAAGACTCACATGGGTGTTCACAGGGTAAAGCCTCCTTTACGTGTGCTTCATCAATGTCCAGTGTGCCACAAACAATTCACCAACTCTCTTGTTTTACAGCAGCACATCCGAATGCACACGGGTGAGCCTATTGATATGAGTCCAGAGCAGATAATGGCAAACGAAATTAGAACTCCTGTTTCCCTCCCAACTCCCTTTCCAAGACCCATTTTACCGGCCCTTCCATTAAACTTCTCAACCCAAAGCCATTTTCCCCAGTCAGTTCAGACTTCACTTCCTCTCTCGCAGTCTCATCCTTCTACGCCATCAAGTTCTCCAGGTATTTCTACGACCTTGTCTTCTCTTTCGACTATAACAAAGAATACAGATAGCGTCATAAAAGCTATCACTCCTCCAGCAAAAGACCAAGATGACTTCAAAGACAACTCAAAAGAAGAATTATCCGAGGATGATGGGCTTTCTCAAACAGACATCCTTCCAATTAAACCACTGGTTGAAGATATTACCAAGGTAATTCCAGATGTAGACTCAGTTACCTCAGCTTGTGCATCCACATCAATTTCCATCTCATCTTCGACTTCATTATTGCCTTTGTCTCTTATCAGTGATAGACCCCTTACATCATCTATTACACATACCAGCTCTTCTTTGACAGCATTAGAAAATCACACAAAAAGCATTTCTACCTCGATTCCTCAACCTCTTTTTGCTCCTTTTGGAATGGGCATTCCTTTAGGCTACTTCCCTCGGTTTGAAAACACGTCGGTTTATCTCCCTAGATCTCAAACGTCTATAGAAACCACCATAAACAATGGAAAGCCCCTAGTACTTGCACCCCCTTTCTCTCCAAACTCAACAACAAGCAAGGCTACCTCAGACAATTCTGGGGATGAGCGTTCAACCCCTGGTTCAGTGAGAAAATCAGAGTCACCATCTTCAGTGTCTACACCAATATCATCTTCTACAACTGTGTCATCAAGCGTCATCACTAGTGTGAATCATGACAGTGGAGCTCTAGATCTTACTCCAAAAGCTTCAATGTTGTCAACCAATACGCCACCATCTCCATCTGAAATGGCTGCTCATATGTTTGCAGCGCCACTTGGAGGATTACCTTTTGCTTCTCATCCAGGGCGAATGAACACCACTTGCCAGATTTGTTTTAAAACATTTGCTTGTCAGAGCGCTCTTTCAATTCATTATCGTAGCCACACAAAGGAACGTCCTTTTAAATGTGACGCTTGTGACAGAGCTTTCTCTACTAAAGGTAATATGAAGCAGCATATGCTGACTCACAAGATCAAAGATTTACCATCACAACTTTTTACAACATCTCCCACTCCAACAACAACGACATCAAACAGCAGTAGTAAGACAACTAGTACTAATCTTGTGAGTAACACAACAACGGCAAGTTCTGGACCCAAGACGTCTAGCCATTCACACAAACGACCAATTTCAGAGAACAGTGCTAGTGTTGTTCAGCCTCTCCCCAAGAGACCACAAGGAATACCTAAACACATGTGCAATGTATGTCACAAGCCTTTTTCAAGTGCAAGCGCGCTTCAGATTCATATGCGTACTCATACCGGTGACAAACCTTTCAAATGCACTGTGTGTGAGAGAGCTTTCACCACCAAAGGTAACCTTAAAGTTCACATGGGAACACATATGTGGAATAATTGCACTTCACGAAGGGGACGTCGAATGTCAATAGATTTGCCATCTCTCCAGATGACCCCACCCCTTAAACCAGGGGATTTTCAACCCCCTCGCCCAGAACTTTATTTCCCTTACCTTCCTCCAGCATATATGAACGGCATGACGACACCAAAGATGAACGAAATATCTGTTATTCAGAGTGCAGGTATGACAAATGGAAACATGCCTTCTTCGCTAAACATGTTTTCACATCAAGGATTGGCTCGAAACATCCCTCGACATCCTGTGGTTAACTCCAACTCTGCTTCTGTGAACGATACACCATCATCTGGGACTATTAATGGATTGAAGATGGTGAATGAGTCCGAGAAAAACAAGTCCCAGTCACCACAAGCACCTCGTGACCTCTCTTCTCCTGGACATCCAACTATTCAGCACTCCCCACCAGCTGGAGACAGGCCACCCACTTGGGGCTGGAAGATGGCGTGTAACATCTGCAACAAGATTTGTGCTTCATCGACTGAGGTCGAAAACCACATCAAATCTCACTTTAAACCTGATTTGAATGAAGAAGACACTTCAACAACTACAGCAGAAAATCTAGCAGCCTGAATTTTAACAATGACTGTCTGTGTGTAAAGGGCAGAAAAACTGATAGACTCACCTATCTGTTAAAGAACTAGTGAAATGTGAACACTCCTATGAAAACCTTTTACCTGATATGTGCAACTGGAAGTTTTGTGTTTCATATATCTTCTAGTAGTTGTCTCACGGTGCAAAAGTGAAACGTACAAACCTCTGTTATGGCTGTTTCACAGAATAATCATCGTAAAATTCACTTTTTTTTTGCCATCCTCCTGCCTAACTTGGGCCTGGAGGGATGCCAGGCCAATTTTAATGGTTCCTATAATAAAACTAGTCCAGGGTATGGTGGCATTTGGTCCTATAGAGTACTAAGTCATTATTCAATAGTAATCTTTGTTAGATGCTATGCGTAGGTTTTTCTCTTCTTGGAATTCTCATTGGACTTACGTCATGATTAATTATGCACGAATAAGGAGAAGAAATTATACTTAAAAGAGGTGTGTGTGTGTGGCAAGAAGTACACCGATATATATGTATGTATGTATGTATATTGTAAACATGAAATCATGTTAACTTCAAATGTGGAAACTTAATTTCCATTACATTAAACGTTAAGGGAAATTATGTTGTGAAGCACGGTGTTGAAAACACTACCTAGTGAGAGTGTAACAAAACGTAGTGTTTTCTTGTTCAGAAAATTTATAGGTTAGTGGAAGATGCGATATTGACTTAGATGATAGAATGAAATGACAGATTTAAAACAGTCTGAAAGAGTACAGAGTGTTAGGGTATAGCTATTTTTATGAAGGTAAAAAAAAAAGGTAAAGTTTGCACAAGTTTAATTTTAACGTCAGATTTTGTCAATGATCAGATTAAAGTCTTAGAAATTATTGGAAGAGCAAGGGTTTGATATCAGTAATGTGAATGAAATGGTTTATACCAAGTAAATTAGTAAAAGCATTTTAAGAAGCTAATGAGGTTTTTGTGTTAGTCTAATCGAACTTGTACAGTGGTTTTAAGTGAGGTGCTTCAATGTCAAAAACATTTACACAAATTCCCGTGAGAGGTCACCCTGTGTACAGTATGCTAACTGTTCTGTGTTTGTTTTCTTTACTAGCTTGGGCTTAATATTACTAAGTTGTCGCTGAATCATCCCACAACTGGAGTTACCTCTGTGGTATCAGACACTGCATGCTCAACATGTCATTACAATCATTCGCATAAAAAAATAACTGGCGTACATTTAGCCAAGTAAACATAAATTACATTGTAGGTGAAACTGTTGCCCAGTTCACTTACAAGGATATAATGTGGAGTCTACTCAAAAATAAACTAAAAATACTCTAAATGTCATCTCAAAGAAAGGAAGACATTTTAATGACAGGAGCTAGAAAAACATCTTTTCGTTGTTTTTTTTTCTTTTTTTTGTTGTTGTTCACGTTTCCTGTATTACTAAATTTTAAAAGGCTACACGTAGTCAAATTGTGTCACCAAGATTTTGATTGTAAGAAAATCCTTTATCGTTCTTTAGGTGTATGAAGATTTGTGGTGAACAACATGGTATTGGTTGAAAACAAGGAGAGAGTCCAAGTCATATCAGTGTACAGTGTTTGGAATCTCCAGCTGTTTTCAGCTAAGTACATTTTGTATAAATGTCACACGTGTGTTTTTAGTTAACCTTTCCTACACTAATGTTTTTGTTTCCTCCTTCTGGCTCCAGACTGTATTATTTCTATGTGAATTTTGACCATCATATGTTTATTTAAGTTCAAAAGTTGAAACCTGCCTACCCTGTGTCTCTTTCTCCAGTCACTAACCTTAAGAACGTTATATGCGATTTTGGTGGGAATCTTCATAATCATCCAAACTTTCAGTCATTTTTGGAATCTCACGTGACAAATGAGATTATACAGGCATCAACAGGGCCTTTAGACTGAAACCACCAATCAAAGACACTGAACAGTTTGCATCCCATTGTATTTATTGATATCACCCGATCTTTGGTAATTTGCTGGTCATATCCCTTTCAATCGGGAAGTTATTTGGCTTAAAATTTTCAGCTTTTAATATCTCGTAAGGCTAAAAGCAGGGACTGATATTAGTGACGGTCTCCACAGTTGAATGTCTACAATGATAAGACCTCCTTTTCAATAATGTCTTTCACTTACATGAGTTCACGTGACCTCAAATGACATCATTTTGTTTTAACAACAAAAAAAAAGGTTATATTTTGAAATAACTTTTCGTATCTGTACGTCTTTGTCAGCTTAAGGTTGTGCATTCAAGAATTTTATTTTTCGATAAAACTAGTTTCTGTGGGTGTTGAACATTTGAAGGTGTAAGTAATCCATCGTTTCGCTTCCACAGAAAGCTAGCGCTTACTGTTTCTGTTGCGTTACACTCCTCTAGCTGTTGGTATTATTATTTTAGAAACAGCTTATGATGATTGTATTCATCAGAATTTTTCTGGGTCGCTCTTAATAAACCCCATCTAGGGTACTATATTATGCTGGGTTATAAACCCCGTCTAGGGTACTATATTATGCTGGGTTGTGATAGGGCGGACTGGGATTTTAGGAGCTGCTGTTACAAGAAAGGCATTGATATTTTAGAACTTTAATACATTCAGTTGAACTATTTTGTCTTCATCCCACTAATTTAGGTAAACGTTATTCCACTAAAATACCTCTAAAAGAAACTCATATGTGAGATAACAAGCAGTGCGTTGCCTGATTTCGATAAATTTAATGTTTTAACGCGTTTCTCTTATAATGAAGGTGCGAATCGAAACAAACATAGAAGATTCTGTTTTAATTATCTGACTTATGAAATGGGGAAGACAAAGTTGGTGATATTGTAACTGTGATATGTTCTTTCCTCATTCTTATGTGAAATAATTTATTATTTTTGGAACAAACCGTGTATTCGGTGATGTAGAGGGGTCACCTCAATAGAAAAAAGAAGAATCACTAAACGTGATACATTTATTTTTTGAGAGAAATAAAATACAATTATGTTATTTCTTTCATTTCATAGAATTAATAATATACTTTTATTTTAAAGAAACAAAACACGGATACTTTAATTGGGTAAATGATTTGTATTGTTCTGATTTGAGGTGACCCCTAGCGATAAGTTATATTAACAAAATCATTCCACTGCTGAAGGGAGGTATTTGTATGAAACAATGGAGACGGTCCCTGCTTTTACCACTGTGTACCCATATGTGAACATTGTTGCTTGTCTTTGTAAATATTGTAAAAGAAATTTGTGGTTGAATATTTGCATGTAGGCCAATTACAACAAACGTGTTTTCAATAAAATGGTGATATTTTGATTTTTCAAGATTTACTGCCCCGTTAAAGCAATTGGAGCATCAAAAACTCAGGAGAAAGCTATTTTTGTAACACTTGTAGCCATTTTTGGTGCTTCAAATGCTATTTTGCAGGTTGTATTGCTATGAAGTAGGCAGTTGTGACTTGTGACTAAATGTTCTGCTCTGTGGATTGCTACATAGTTTTTCCTGGTTCCCGCTAGTACTGTTTAGTTTCTCCTGGGAGGGATGCATTAGATTTAGCTAGCTTTCTATTTTGTCATACCGAAGTTCAAGGACAATAAACATTTGTTTTAAGAGACAGTATATTGCCTAATTTGATTCATTTTTTTTGTCCAATTTGTTTATTGAAATAGAAACTTTTAAACGAAAATCCAATCCCCACTGAAAATGTCAAAACAAAAATACAACTTCGAATCTATGTATCTTTACTTGAATAGAACATTACATAAAAACTTATCAAATAAGGAAACTGTAGAAAACGATTTACAAAACAACAACATTTGATGAACATGAACACATGTTTACGCCACACTTTTGTCCACCGTTAAGCATCTGATGTTAAAATAAAGTGTGTTTATGGCCAAGTGGAGATAATAATAATGTTTCTCTTCTAATGAAAATAACAAAAAAGAGGAAATTGTTTCCTGGAATATTTAATAATTTGATTTGTTTTGTTTAAAATCACAGATGTTGATGGCCACGTAAGTTCGTACAAATTGTGTTCTCGGAATCTACCAATAAAACTTACGCACGACACGACGCATTATCTAGTATTCCATTTTTTTTCAGCTCATTACAGAAGATTGAATGTTACCATAATCACTGGAAAAAAAAAGAGAAAGAGAGAGAGAAATATTCACAGAATAAGTTGAAAACTTTCTGTTAAACATCAATTGAGACCCAAAGAAACAGGCTAAAATAATAAAGTAAGATAATTCAACATTGGCACGCTTGAAACCAGAGGAAAATACTTAAACAAGGAGGAACTTTCATAAGAATTAAGACTAGTAAAAGTATTGGTTGAACCAGGGGGTTCGATAGGGTTGTCTTTAGCATGTTCTCGGAAGCTCAAACTAGTGATTTTTTATATACCGTTGACTACCTATGGGATCCTCATATTGCATCATGTTGGGTAATTTCGTATTTTTCTGACTATTTCAACGTCATTGTAAAAAATTGACCAAAAGCATTAACTGGTTGGGGGCAGCGGGTAGTAATTAGCAGAATTAACTGCAATGTTGACGGCGTTTCTGTTTACAGTTTTTGTGTGTGGGACTCGTATGTTATTAAAAATCCTGTAATTATAGAAGTCATGGACACACCAATAAGTTGTTGCTTAACTCATTGAGAAACATTTATTTAACCCTCAACTGGTAGGTTGGGGTCAGAATGAGCCATGTCGATTTATGAAGTCTATATACCAACTCAGCTAGTGCTGCTCTCTACCTGATATTTTCTGTACTCTAACCTCAATCAGTTCTTAATCAGCTGCTTCAGTTCTCTTTCTTACTGTTGTAATCGTTTGTGGGTCATTCTGACCCCATCGTATTATAAAGATAATATTTTATAAATTTTATTATACATGGGCCATTTTTACCCACCCTACCACTTATATACAAATATTGTACCCTTCTAGTTGAGGGTTATAAAGCCGATGTTCCCATCGGTATTTCTAAAGTTAGATAGTATCAAAATAATTAAAACTATAAATCACTGATATTTGAACCATAAGTGCTCTCAAACTTTCGAAGAGGAAAACGTTAATCAACGTTAATCTTGCTCATGCAAAACGACAGTAAGTTAGATCAACATTTCGCACGGAGGAATCATCTAGTTTTGTTTGAAAAAAAATCTGTTCCTTCAACGTGTATCTTACAACAAGTAGCACATTATATAGAAGGTTAATTAGTTGGTTCATCCTTTGGAGGAAAGATATCCCGAAAACATTTTTTTTACTGCTCTAAATTTTCTAGAAGAAAATTACGCCACAAATAAAACGTGTTGTTGATCAGTTCTAGTATTTAGATAACTATTTTAACAGAACTGTTCCTTGTAGTTAAAACAGAAAACAAAAAACGCAGGCATTCAAGGAACCTAACAAAAACAGTCAATAAAAAATGTTCAATATTCGTTAAACTTTCTTGTAAATATGGTAAAAAAACTTAGTTCTTTCTTAATTGTTGCCCCTAGTGGTACAGCGGTATGTCTGCGGACTTACAACGCTAGAAACCGGGTTTCGAAACCCGTGGTGGGCAGAGCACAGATAGCCCATTGTGTAGCTTTGTGCTTAACTTCAAACAAACAATCCAAAAGGTTAAGCAATTTCTATGGCAGTTTTGTTTGTTTGTTTTTAGTGCAATTGTATATAATTCGCTATCTGCGCTTTGTCCACCACTGAGGGTAATCGAACCCGTGAAGTTAGCATTGTAAACCCGTAATCTTACCGCTGAACTACCGGGGGGTCATTTAAGAGCGATGTCTTGATGAAGAAGATACTCTTCGAAGAGACTCGAGCGTTTTTTTACCAACAATAATCGCTTTATGGTAATTCACGGAGCTATTTTATTTCAATAAAGTGGCGCAGGCACCGGGGGAGCGATCAATCCCCCTAGGTTTGTGAAAAGGAAGCGACAGCTATCACCCTCAATTAGAGAATTTTTTTTGTTGGACCAAAACAGTAACGAAACGTCCATCTAGAGCTTCGAAAATGTCGTTCGTTAAAACTCAAAAAAAAAACATACATTGTCACTAGTTAGTGAGTAACAATATCCCCCCCAATATGGGTCAGCAAAGGCTTAAGGATTTATAACGCTAAAATCCGATGTTCGATTCCCCGAGTGGACAAAACCCGGATAATCCATTGTGCAACTTTACGCTAAAACAACAACTACAATACTCTTCGTGTGTAAATGATGTAAGACAATTTCAGATTTGTTGAAAATCTCAAAAAGAAGTTCCTACGGCACTACTTCAATATTAACCGATTAGGTATAATTGTAAAGAATATTAATGCTTACATTTTAAAATTTACTGGAATAGCTTTGAAAGAAGAGATTCGAAAGCTCTTAAGTTATTGTACTTCGTTTGCACGATTATCAAAAAATTTCTGAAGCGCATGAATTATATTTCACTATCACTATATACAACTTCCTGGGGATTTTGTTCTGTTCGTAATAGAGTTCCCCTTGGGAAGGTTAAGTCATTTAACAAATAACAAGTATTGATCCTGTAAAGACTTGGCAAGGAATAGCCTACAAAACTGTTCATTTTGAAAGTAGGGCAATTTTTTCTGGTAGGAGAAAGATTCTTATAGAACAAAAAAAAAAATGTATTTAGACAACAGGTTACGGGCAATAACTTTCTGTTTAATGATATTTTCAAAATGAATTGTTTCCTGTCCTATGAGCCCGAACAATATGTTCAGTATCTCTACCAGTGCAAAAACTTATGATTTGAGGAAAATTGTTCGTATTGATATGAATACCGTTATAAAGTTCATTATATGGGACTTACAACGTGATTTAACTTAGATCACGTAAAAATGTCAAAACGTTTAGTTTTTTAAATTATAAAGCACTGAATAAATTATTACAACAAATAGACAGTAGCTTAGGATTACGAAATGTAAGAGAAATAGGGGTTGGATAATAAGTTATTCCACTATAATTATCCATTGGACATATTTTATGTTTCATCGGTCGAGTTCATGCTTATGTCAAAAATATTAGCCAGACAGTTCGTTCTCTTTTCAAAATGTAATACTGTCTTTAGAAGAAAAAATTGATTGACGATAACACACTTTCTGCTTTCTGAATCAATGCATCAAACGAACACAAACATTGGTACTCCATGATAGAATCTTTTGAACAACATTTTCTGAATCAATGCATCAAACGAACACAAACATTGGTACTCCATGATAGAATCTTTTGAACAACATTTTCTGAATCAATGCATCAAACCAACACAAACATTGGTACTCGATGATAGAATCTTTTGAACAACATTTTCTGAATCAATGCATCAAACAAACACAAACATTGGTACTCGATGATAGAATCTTTTGAAAAACATTTTCTGAATCAATGCATCAAACGAACACAAACATTGGTACTCGATGATAGAATCTTTTAAACAACATTTTCTGAATCAATGCATCAAACGAACACAAACATTGGTACTCGATGATAGAATCTTTTGAACAACATTTTCTGAATCAATGCATCAAACAAACACAAACATTGGTACTCGATGATAGAATCTTTTAAACAACATTTTTTGAATCAATGCATCAAACGAACACAAACATTGGTACTCGATGATAGAATCTTTTGAACAATATTTAATCTAAGTAGTTAAAAATGTGGAAACTAAACTCGAAAAATACGTGATTTTCACACCTTTATTGACAAGATGGACCTTTCGGGCCTAAAGCTGTCTTCACGAATTTTAATGTACTAGATAACATTATAAAATGAAATCAACTCTGTAAAGGAACATCTGACTTCACAGTCGGAAAGGCACGATTACACTGGTGAGTGAGTAACTGCTGAGTAACTAGTGTTGTAACATCTTTATTTTAAATAAAATAATTGCAATGTCTATACAACTTCTACATGATTACATGCAGTGCTGAATATTTTCTACAAAACCAAGAACTATCACAGAAAGACATTTTCAAGTCGATAATTTTATTTGTGATTGTAATATATTTAAACATCGTTATTTGATTACTCCTCCACAACATATATTTTAGACTAAAATCTGCTTACATTTTAATTGTTTGGTAACCTTCAGTAATGAAAAGAGCCTTAATTATCGGTTACAGATAAATTTTCACAAAAGTAAGAATACATTTCTAGGAATAATGATAGAAATGTTTATCCTTCTTGTTTTTGTTTTTTGACAAGTTAGATTTAACAACAGCACATAAAGAGAAAGACAAAACGTGTTTATATTAAATAACTCTTAACAATTACTTGTGAATAGTATTAAATGGATTTGAATTTATAATAAAAATGCCTACACGTTTATTTACTTAATGACATAATTTTTAACTTAGGTTTAATTAATATGCGATTTCTTCGTAGTGATAAAGACACCACTTAACATTGACATCTCCCAAGATGTACAAGATTTAGAGTGGCAACTGCTAATGAATAACATTGTTTGGGGCTGATGGTGTCTAAGATTTTGTAAAATTGGAAGTAGAATAATCTCGACATTTCCTCTAACAACATTACCGTATTAATCTTTATCAACGTAAGTTTGTATAGACTTTTAAGAAGCAATTGTTTATTTTATTGAAATTCGTTGTCCATATTAATTCATGTGTAACTGAAAATATTATTAATAAGACTGGCAGATTGAATATACACGTAATAAATTTCCAAATAATGAACAGACCCAGCATATCATTAGTTAGTAAAGGCTCTGTCTCCAAAGAATTTTCTTACGAATGATAGATACACTGTTTCTTAGAATTCGTAAAGATCAACAGCTCCCCCACTCCCACGAAGACTTTCAATTACACCTTCCGTATTACGAGCGGGGCGTAGAGGAATTGTTAAATTTTTGAGCACCCCTAACCTTTAAACATAAAACACCAAACATGTTCAATCAAATATCCAGTTAAAGATGGTACAAGGAAAAGACCTAATTATTGAATGCGCTGTTAGTAGCATTAATGTGTGAGACATTTCAAACCGTCTACTCAC